ACTCCAAATCTTAACTGTGTAGTTAATGACAGTGCTACCCTTGTAGCTAAGGTTAACCTAGTCTCTAGAGTGTTCTACAGAGAGATATTTATATGTTTGTAAGTAAGTGAAAGAAAGAGAAATAATAAAAAAGTTTCATCTTTGTCTAACTGAAGGTGAAATCTCTAAGTTGGGCCACTGTGAAGCCCAAGTGAAGAAAGGTGTTAAGGAGAAGAATGGCCCAATTCCAAATAAGCCTAGTCAACAAAATCAGATGAAGACAAAGATGACTGTACCTGTACCTGCAAACACAAGCAATGGAGAAAAAACAACGCTCCTTCAAAACCGATTTCAAGCTCTACAAGATAAGAATGATGACTAGTCAATCTACAGCTGGAAAAGGATGACCTAGATTCTAGATTGTTCCTATTGTCTCTATAAAACACAATGTATCTCTTTGCAAGAGTTTTATCGAGTCAAAAATAAAGAAAGCAATTTTCCATTTTTCTCAAAATCTTTTCACTAACCTTATACACTTTCTACACCTTCTTCTACGCAAATGGCTGATGCTCCTGCCCCAGTCATCGTTTTGCCAGAGGTAACTATTGCTATAAAAAATTCTTCTTTTCCTTTGTTCCTCAGTTTAATGTTGTTTTGTTCTTAAGAGGTATGATAGAACGAATAAGGAACCATATATATAGATTTTGTGGTTTGGATATTACTCATAATGTGTGTATAAGTATGCAAACGTGATAGATTTATTAAACTAATACTAGAAAATTCTTCTTTGCCTTTTGTTCCTCAGTTTAATAATCTGGGTTTCTGGAAAAAAATGCTATTTTGTTATGATAGAACGAATAAAGAACCATAGATATAGATTTTGTGGTTTGGATATTACTCATACAATCACTAGGATTTAATCCGCGGTACGTGGGACAAAATTGTATTTTATGTATTTTCTATAATAATTTATAATTTATTGTATTTTTAAATTGATATTATAAAAAAATTCTCATTTAATTATTTTATATTATAATTAATATATTTGAAATATGTGTAATTAATCTTCATTAAATTATGAAGATTTGTAGATGTACAAATGATATAGTGTTAATATTTGCAAGTATTTATAATTGATATAACACGGATTTTACTGGTTTTAACCGTGATTTACGTCTTAGTTTTAGAGTTTTTTTGTTGTTTCTAGTGTCTTTTTGAGTCTTTTCAGGTTTTGACACGTTCGGGACGAAATTGGAGAAAATAAATCATTCTGGAGCTAAACCGAAGATTTGGAGCTGAAGAGACAAAATCGGATTCGAACCAAGGCATTGGTGTCGCTCGACACCATACGCGGTCCAGCAAGGAATCTCGACGGTTTAGAGTTTTAAAGCCCGCAAAATTTACCCAGAAGACTTCCCTATTTGTAATTTTAGTCCCTGCACGTTTTTGGAGACTTTATAAATAGTTTTTAGGGTTAGGGATTCTCATTAAGGATTTAGATGAACTAGTAAATCAATTATCTGTTAGGATTAATCCATATAGTTCTTCATCTAGGTTGTTCTTAATGCTTGTTCTAGAGTAGCTAACTAGAACTTGATCATAGGATAATAGGTATTTGATCCGAGAGGGCACCTGTTACCTGAACTACTTTAGATGAGCATGTTTTATAGGTGTGTAATAAGAATCGGCCTATCTACTAAGGTGAATATATCAAACCTGAATTTAATGCTAGTCTAGATCTAGGAATTCGTATCAAGAGGTGGAATTACTGATATTAGGCTTGTTAGTTATCGCATCGAGAGGTGGTTAGTTATTCATTAGTGATTTGAGTTCAAGAACGGTTCATTAAATAATCATAATTAACTTGCTAGATTTGCTAATAGTTTATGTCCTGAGAATTTCCCTAAACTTGACGCTTTAATCCATTGATCTTTTCACCTGATAATATTGCTTGCTCGTGTTTTATTCTAATTTTAATTATTCTGTTTAGCCTAATTTCGAAACTCATAGCTTAATGTGTTAACAAAAGAACTTTGTGGAATTCGACCCTTAAGTGCTGCAATAGATCTCTTATTTGAGAGAGTAGGCTTTAGGATAAATTTGACTCACATCAATAATCATGGACTATTATAATAATTTGATATTATTTTATATCAAAATAATTTACCCCGCAGTATATTGCGGGTCAATTTTTTAAACTAAAAATTTTAAATTTAAGTTATATTTTTTTTTGTTAATAGTGTTTGGTTTGTTTAATATTTAAGATTATATAATTATATTTTTATTTTTAATTCTAGGTTTCACTCGTGGTATACGTTCACGTATTAATATCGACTCAAACTCGTCCCACCATATAACTCCGTTTTGTATTCAGAATCATTTTGATCCTTTTTATAGTATGACTCTGAACCATTGTCCAAACTTTTAAGCAATATGAGACATTGTACACATACTTTTTCTTCATCGATTGAGTAATATATGTCCGTTTTTATAATTTTGAATCATATTATATGCAGAAAAATCTATTATTTTATCAATTATTTGTATTTTATATAAATTCAAAATAAATTACTATAAGATCATATAAAAGTGAAAGAAGAATTATATATTAATGTTTAAATTTAGTAGAGATGTTTTAGGAAAATTTAGAAATAAAATCGATTTGTTACCATATTTGAAAGCCACAGTTTCTAAAAGATTTTCTTGAAAAGATTTTGTAATATTAATTAATATATAAACATTTATGACAATGACATTCTATTGTAAATACTTCTTAACTTCATGATTTATTTGCTAAATATATTTCAAAAATGTATATATAGATGCTATACTTTCATTTTGGCATAGGTGATTATTGACATAGAAACTTCTTCCTTTCCTTTGTTCCTCAGTTTAATAATCTGGGGTTTTGAAAAAATGCTATTTTTGTTCTTAAGAGGTATGACAGAACCAATCAAGAACCATAGATATAGATTTTGTGGTTTTGAATCTTAATAATGTGTGTATAAATACTTTGGCTTCGTCTAATGCTTAATTTTGTTATCCTTGTAAGAGCAAGAACAGCTCAAGAACATCAACACCATTCTGCAGTACCTAGGCGGGATATCGGCGGTTGGGATTCTGAACCCTCCAGGAGGGTTGGACCAGAACGGGCACGTGCGATTTAGGCACAAAGCCTCCTACTATGTTTACTTTGGATGCGCTTAGTTTGCGTTTCTGGCAAGTCTGGTCGGTGCGGTCTACCTGACGGTTAACGTGTCAAGAGATGCGGCTCGCATTCGTAGGATGCTTCGCAACGGATTCATCATTCTTAGCATCCTTTCTGACTACCTTCACCGCTGGGGTCTGGACGATTGTCCCGATCCTGGAGGAGAAGAGTGTCTCGTTCGTCCTGATTGGCGCAATAGTGGCTGTAGTGTTGAAGATGGTTGTCTCGATCGTTGTTTGGTGTCTCAGGCTTTGAGTGATGGAGCGGTGAAATTAATAACGGCGGCGTACCCCAATAATTCGTGGACCATTGAAGAATAAATTTGTTTGATTTTATTATTAAGTATTTTGTGAACATCTAGACTTTTGTTAATCCTTGCTTTGTTTTATTTTGGGACGTGTGCTTTGTTTTATTCTCGACTTTGAAATGTTGGCTAAACTATCCTGTTTCCTTATTTCCTTCACTTGCACTGAAATTTGTTTAGCTTAGAAAATTTCATGTTGATCTTCTCAATGCAAGTCAATGACTTGACAAATTGTGGTGTCTTTGTGTTTACCTCAGATATCTTCAATGCCATTGAAGGAATATATAGCGAAATAAGATACACATGTGAGTATTCATTATAAGCCTCTCTTAGAGACTTACATTATTATCAATCAGAGATCTGCGTCATCATTTACATGATTCTTTTGGTCTTGTGAGATTAGATCGAGATATACACATATGAGAATAAGGATTTCTGGGACCAGATTAAGACTCTGGGTAAGTTGGTGGAAATCATTGTTTCTTAGACGTTCTTGGATTACTCCTTGTGCTAAGAAATTGCTTTAAACAAGAAATCTTTGAAATGCTCGGCTCTATATCTTCCCCAATTCCACCAAACACCGCCTCCATATTTTAGCTTTAGGAGATGGTACTAATAGGATACCGATGTTTATCGATCTCAGCCAACATTGGTGTTGGACCTGGTGTAAGGCCTATTAGCTGCATAATCTTAGAAGATGGACCTTCGATCTTGTCAGATGTCTGGCTTGCGGTACAGGGACCTCGTAATCTGCACATGGGAATGGCAATCAAGAAATGATTCATCGGATGTCCCAGCAGAGGAAGCTTCAAGAGCTCTCGGCGAGCTTCTTCTGAAAGCAAGTGCAGTTTATCCAGACATATAGAAGTGGGAATTTAAGGGAGAAAGGGCTGGGTTGAGAGCAATGCCAACCTGTCACAAGCCATGGGTCACTACAACTCTTGTGATGTGTAAATCAGCTCATAGGTGCAGCAAGTGAGTCTTGCAAATTCTGGGTATTTTCAGGGCTCGGATCAAGGTGACTACTCTATCATGATTGGCTTGGGAAACTCATGGCTAAAGCTGTTTTAAGTTGCAAGGAAGAGTTAATTCCTTCTGAACTAACTTCTTGGAAGAAAACAGTGATTGGAAAGTTCTCCCGAGAGCCCGAGAGCAGCCATTACAAATAAAAACAAGACAATCATTGCTCCTAACAACTGCACCAATTTTGAAACTTCCATATTCATTTATTGCAGAACACACAAAACTAAATATTATTGCAAATCGCCAAATGCTGAATGAAAATGGTCTTAAGCTCCAAAGGAAAGTTGTGTTAATGTACCTGTCATGCAGAATAAAACGGGAAGTAGTTTACAGGTTTGTCATTAGTGGCGAAGCAAAACCTGACATGCATCCATTCAATCAAAACCACTGGACATGACACAATCATAAGAACAACTCATTTAGAAGCAGAACCAAAACTACCTCAGACTTAAAAGCCCTCCATCACGTGTCTTTGATGCATAGATTGGTGATCGTGAAACACTGTCCAACCTTCGAAGGGATAGATTGGTGATCGTGAAACACTGTCCAACCTTCGTAGTTGCCTTGAAGCTGACCTGTAGAATAACTGAAACAGTTTTCAGTTAGTATAAACTTTGAACTCCTCTTCTTCTCTAAGATAACATCAAATATGAAATCAGATTGGCAAAAAACAAGCAGTTGTATAATGGCCCAACGTCTAGGCAAAAGTACCTGAAGCTTGCTGTATATATACCAAAACGGCAGAAGTAGAAGCATGAATTGAACATGTATACATATTATACATTAAAGTAACTCCTCCAACAAAACAGACGAATAATAATTAAAATAAAATAAAAAGAGAGACACATGGTACAATAATCCCTAACAATACTTTACATAAGACAATACTACAGTAATCCATAACAAACCAACAAAATTTGCTAGAAGACTGTTGCGGATAAACGGGAGAGAGTCATCGATGGTATATGTACGTCAGGGGAAAATCTGAAACGAAGTTAAGATCAAGAACAAGACACATGGTACAAAGAGTTTTCCTGTCTATAACCTGTTAAGTATTCTTCCACTTGGTGTCTGATCAAAGAACTCTGTAGGTTCATTTATAAGCTTAATGATTAATTCACTATGTACATGTATTGCTGCTTTTAATCCTCCAAATGCAAATTTGAATGCCCTCACCAAGGTTAATACTGAGTTAATGATGCAAGTGATAAAGATAAAACCACAACACTTCGATTCCAATCGCAAATTCACACCAAATCGAACTAAAGTTCATAAAACGCGAGTCGATATCTCAAATGACGAAGATCTAACAGAGAGATCTCGATCTAGATGAGTACAACACCATAATCTCAGAACAAACTAAGAAGAAGAAGAAAAAATACAACTAAAATGATTTCTCTGGTTAATTTTTCCCAATTGATCTTCGATCTCTCTTTATAGATTCATCTCTCGATCTCTCTTTCCAGCCAACCATCAGCTGCCAACTCACAACTCACACCTCTACCAATCATATTCTAGCAAACTTCCACGTCACGCAAACTTCCAAACTCACAACTTGAAATCACAAGTTTTAAATATTTAAAAGAACAAAAAAAAATAGAATAACAATCAGGGTGTCACGAGTTCTATTAGGGCCCATGATGATGTGTGCAACAAATAGAATAAGAATCGGGATATTATAAGTTCATGAGAAACCTCTTGTTTATGGAAGCTCCTGACATAATTATTGGCTCTTGATTTGGAGAAAATTTCTAAAATTCCGAGACAAAGTCGTTAATTTTTCTATTCGAATAGAGGAGCGAGCTGGCAACTTAACCTCCTTTTTGTTTGTCCTTGTCTTTCTCACTATCACTTGGGAACAAACCAGTCCCGGCCCTTCACACATTCTGGTGAAACATTTGTATTGGACCTTAAATTTTTAAGACCTATTTTGTGTGCAACATATTTTTGGGTATACGTTGTAACTGGACTGGACCAACAGGCTCAGTGCAATTTCCGCTTCCTCAAATGATCAGTTGCACAATATGCTACATCCTCCTTTATATGACCTTCCAAGCCACTATATACTATACTATATACTATAGCATACATCAAAATGCACACCACTCAATCAATAAGCACATTAGGCTCATTAACAAGACAATTGTTGACATTCTCACATCTAACCTCTGTTTCACTCTTAGAGGTTTGATCTCTCGTTCTTTGTGTCTCTCTCTTTGTTGCACTCTATTTTTGTTTTTGTTAATTTAGAAAGAAACACAAGAAAACGTTTTTCTCTTTTAAAAGACTACATTAATAATTGCTTGGGTATATTTCTTACAACACACATACACATATCTTCTATTTGCACCTCACACATGCACCATACTTTTTAACCATACTTCTAGACATTATTATCCTACGACTTACATCAACCACTCTACTATGTTGGAACTCCAACTCCTTAATTTACTCTTACACAACAACTCTACTTTGGTTCTTGGTCTACACTTTATACCAACAAACACACACAATCTTCTTTGGGCCTTATTAATTGCAGCCCATTAATCTTGTCCTAAACCACACAAAGCCCAACATCTCCTTAGGTTGACTTTGCTTCCTTCTTTGTCGTTGACTCTCTTCAAAACATTTCTTCTTCTTCGTTGTGGCTTCTTCTCTTTTCTTCATCTTCTTCTCACTGATTCATTTTTCTTTGTTGCAGGATTTAATTAAGGATCCAAACTCCAACAACTATCCAGAATTGGATTATCACTCAAAATTAATTTCTTCAGCTATCGTTTTGACTTTTGAGTACACACTCACACCGTCACACGGCTAGTTGAGAACCTCTCTTGTGCACTTTCTTTTGTTTTTCTTCTCTCTTTTACCTTTGTTTTGGTTCGTAGCTCTCTTTGCAAATAATAAATGTCGTTATAGAAATTTATCATAAATTCGAGCTATCACAATAAATGTTGTTATAGAAATTTATTACTACTTCCATCCGTTTCGTTTTAGTTGTTGTTTAAGGTTTTCTCACACAAATTAAGAAAACCATTAAATTTTTCGTTTTACCTATTATTAATATATTTTACAAAAAAATTCATTGGTCAAAACATTAAAACAATATGGATAAACTAGAATTTTTACCAAACATTTGCATTGAAAACCTAAAACGACAACTATTATAAAACAAAACTAGAATTTAACCCGCGGTACACCGCGGGATGATTTAATTTTTACGTTAGTATAAAAATATTTTGTAAATTGTATCTCCTTATAACATATTTATTTATATTATAGTTTATAATTGTTATTAAGTAACGGTATACCACGAGTTCACGAGACAATTATTAATAAACTGAGGATTTAACCCGTATTAAAGCAGTATATAAATATTGATTCAAATTCGTCTGCCATATAAATCATTTCCAAAATATAACCCGTTCCGTAATTTTTTAACCCGTCCCGTGATTTGTTTTTATTTTAAAATTAATTGATTATTTATTATAAAAGTTTATAAATCATATCACCCTCTAAGACCACGGGACATTATACCACGGGACAATTTTTGGTTTTATACAATATTTTCTTAATGAGACTGATTTAATATATCTAATATTTGTGGTATTAAAAAAAGGATTTAATCCGTATTGAAGCGGCGGATTAATGATATTTTAATATTTTTATTATTGTTGATTCAAAAACCCGTCCCGCCAAACTTGTCTGGCCAAAAAACTCATTTATTTTATTAATGTTCTTATTTATGATATGATTCTGAATCATTGTCTAAATATTTAATCGATGTTGAACGTTGAACACACATTTTCGTCAATTGGATAATATATGTCTGTTTTTTAAATTTCGAATCACAGTATATGCAAAAAAAAAAATTGATTTTTTTTAACTTTATGTATTATATGATAATTCAAAACAGTTAAAAACAAATCAAACAAAGATGATAGGAGAATCATAATTATAAATCCTAATCAAATCTTCTAAATATCTAAATTATCAAATATGGAATATCCGGTGTATTAGTTGGGTTAAATATAATCCGACCCAACAAATTTTTTGTGAAGGAATTTTAAAAACGGGTCGGGTATCCGATATATCCGGAAGCATTTTTACCCACCCGTCACCAAAGTGTTGTAAAAATACTAGTATAGATAAGTTTTAAAACGACAAATAAACTAAAACGGAGGGAGTATAAGATTTTAATTTAAAAATATCTTACTTGTTCCTGTTTAAAATTGATAGAAAAATATTACCTATGTTTCATTCTAAGTGTCAATTAGAATTTACATATAATAAAAATATTTAAATTTCAATTATACTATTTATTAATACATTTTCATTTAATTTAATAAGTAGAAATAATATTGATAAAAATTAGTTTTTTTAAAAAAAATTGTACTTTAAAATACAAAACTATATTTTATATAAAAAAATCGTACAAAACCTTATTATAAAAAGAAATATAGTTTTAAAAAAAAAACAAAAAAAGCATAAAGGAGTAATCAAGAGGTACTATCACTTTCTCAGCACGTGACAACACATGTGTTAGTTGACCGGCTTAGGGGTTTAGACTTTTTTTATCCTCACTAATCACTGATTACCTTCCTTTAGTTACAATTTTATTTTATAAGATTAATGTAACTTCTTAACTAATTAAGATATCCTCAAGTTATGAGTTTATCCTCGTGTGTGGTATGTGACTGACTGTGTGTATATGATCGGATGCACTCACGTGACACACCAATGATCACGTGCTAGTTGCTACTAATTCCATTCACTTGCGTATAATAAACGCCAAACCAAACGCAAGTCGTGGAATGATGATATTATAAGTCTCAAGTCAAAGTCAATTTTGGTTAAAGTCAAAAGAGTTTGACATTATCAACCATTTGTTACGAATGGTTCCTAATAGATAACGTTGTAATTTCTCTTATAAAACAAAAACATAAGCCCATAATTGTCATAATACATATACGATATGAACAATTCTTACAATAACGAGGTCAAGTTGTCTAACAAATTTAGACAATATGTCATATTTAGACAATTTGTGATATATAATTTTTGAACCGTATGATTATTTTTTTGTAGTAGATGAGACTTGGGAATGTGCTAAAATATTTTTCTTAGAGTGGTTATGATCCATGGTAGATAAGATTTGGGAATGTGTTAAAACATTTTTTTTAGGGTTCTTCCTAGAAACAAAATATCATATTTGTATATGGAAAATCTAGGTTTAGACTAAAGAATCAAACAGTTTACCTAGTAGTCCCGTAACATACGATCTAACTATTTCCGAGCATTAAACGAAAAAAATTCCAAACTTAGAATATGCAGTGTCTTGGTCTTTTGAGAAAAATCTACTTTGTAGCATTTCGGTGCGTTTCTATTGAGATTGACCGGATCAGCCGTAAGGTTTACCAAAAATTATAAATTATATTTAGTTATATAACAGATTACATATGAATATCATGTGATCTATGAATGAGACTCCAATTTAAATAACTCTTGAAGTACATTCACTATACTACTATATATATATATAAAACATTCTCTTTCCTCGTCGGAATTTCAATATTAAGTTTTTTTCTTTCCATATTTTGTGTTATTGTTATTTATTTCATGTTTTTTTCTCCAAATTATAATACGCTAATATATTTTTTATTTATTTTTGAGGACCATTTTAGATTTTCACATCTATGAAAAACGTTAGTTTCTTAAAAAATTTTATTCAAGTCTATTTTCTTAAATGTTTAAAGTCAAAAATTACTTACTTGTTGTGAAACTTATTGTTTTCTCATTCCATTCCATGATAATGATACATATATAGGCATATAAACCTAGGGTTTTAGAGTACATAATGAATAACCCTGATGGGCTTATTGGGCCCGGTTATAAGTCCAATATGATGTATTATAACACTCCCCCTTGGACGGAGTAACCGGACCTGATGGTCAATCGGGATCTCGATAATACGCTGGGGAATGTTGCCTCATTAAAACCTTACCAGGAAAACCCAGTGGGAAAAACCATGGTGAAGGAAAAAGAGTACAACACGCATTACTCCCCCTGATTAGAGCATCACCGTAGATCTCTAAGTCTACGCATTCCTATTTGTTGGATGAGCTTCCGGAGTGTTGAAGCGGGCAATGATTTGGTGAAAAGGTCGGCGGAGTTATCGCATGATCGGACCTGTTGAACGCTGATCGTACCATCCTTCTGCCAATCCGAGGTTGAGAAGAATTTCGGTAGGATGTGCTTCGTCCGATCTCCTTTGATATAACCTTCCTTGAGTTGAGCAATGCAAGCCGCGTTGTCTTCAAACATAACCGTGGGCTCCTTATCTTCTTTCATACCACAATCTGATCGGATGTGCTGAGTCATGGATCGTAGCCAAACACATTCTCTGCTGGCTTCGTGAATGGCCAAAAGTTCTGCATGGTTTGATGAAGTGGTAGTGATTGTCTGCTTTATCGATCTCCAAGAGATAGCTGTTCCTCCATGAGTGAACACATAACCAGTTTGAGACTTGGCATTGTGCGGATCTGATTGATATCCTGCATCAGCAAAACCAACTAGTCCATCCTTGTTGTGGTTAGTGTAAAACAGTCCTAAGTCTTTA